CTTCTAGTCAGTAAGCAAGGAGACTGATTCAAATCCTTTTTTCCACATTAAAAAACAATAACTAGAGTGTATACTGACCAATTTTTAACAATTGACTCATGGGAAGGAAAAATGTCCTGATTTGTAGATTTGCCAACTTCTATGGTATAAACACTTCCACCGTGGCCAGTTTCAAGCTACTAACATGATGTCACTAAACCCAGAATAGTGGCATAATCTTATATAGTTATTCTACCAAACAGATTCATTATTAATGTAAACAATCTCAGGAACATAGTAAGATGTGGTAAAGTAACCAAGAAGTGAGTTAGCTTTGAGTTAAATCTCTTTGTTTTTAACATACTTGATTTAATTATGTTTACATAAATTAATTTTTTTAATAATGGCAGTTTAACATCCAGTTCACAAATATCCCTGAAAATCAAGTGGTCCGTTCTTACAAGCCAGTAGGAGCCGGTTCCAACACACTGCTGCCCCAAGATCAGAGCAGTTAGCTTGGCAAAGGTAATAAAACTTCAGGGAGATGAGCACAGCCAGCCTTCCCCAAAACTCAGCCTGCAGGGATTGCAAATCCAAGGCCCCTCAGGAGCCAAGCATCTTCACCTAGCAGAACAAGCACTGCCCACTTACAGTAAGAACCTCACCTCTTCCACAGGCCGGAAGCACCAGCTCCTCAACAATTCTCAACTTTGAAAACCATGATGTGAATGTCAAGTACTAACTAGCAGGTGCAGAGTTCTTCACAGGAGTGTTTGCTTCTGAATGCCAAGGCTTGAGTGTGCTCTGATCTCAGCTCTGCCACTCACCAGCCAAGTGACCTGGAATAGATCACCCCACCTCAGTTGGCCATTACTGTGAAAAATGAGGGGATTGAACTAGGTGATCTGAATTAACTTCTTCCTGCTGTCAAACCCCACATCAGCTGTGATTACCAAGGGCCTCAGAAAAGATCACTGATCATGTCAGGACCCACTGAGGAAAGTTCTACAGCCCAGAGTAACACAACTTCCTGAACCAGAACCCTCTTAGCTCAGAAATGAGGAAACATTCTCAGCCCCAAAAGTGGGAAGATCTGGGCTGTGGTCCTGCATGGATGTGTTAGAATACAGCTGTGTTGGAGATGAAAAATGGTTTTGTCTTGTTTCCTGGTCAAAGCCAAGTCCTATATCTTTAGTTACTTGGCTATAATCACAACCTTTACCCTGCTGCATTAGGTTCTCTATAAGCTCGTCTCAGAGATTCCTTGCCATTGGGAATCTGCCTGCTTTTGACAAATAGCTGCACTGATGGAATGCTGCTTGAAAGTTGAATTTATTAACTAAAAAAATAGGTAAAGCCACAGTTAATTAGAGGAAGGGGAAGAGGAACAGAGTGGCCAACTGTAGTGGAGACATGGGCCCACTTCTGCAGCATTAGTGTGGCATTGTGTGTGTCCAAGAAAACGTTGTGCAGCTGTGTATCTCGGTGTGGAAAGGTTGTCATGATTTATAATTGTCTGTCCAAATCAACAGTCACCAATCCAAGAGGAACAGCAGGAGGGCTGGAAAAGAGAAGGGTTGTCAGCAGCAATTTACGAATATGTTTCATGTTTAATGCTTTTAACATAGGTGCCTTATTTTTTTTTGTACCGGGGATCAAACTCAGAACCTTGCACTTGTGAGACAGGCATGGCACCAGTGAGCTAAATTCCTGGCCCATGGTGCCTCGTTCTGACTTCTAGAAATCTCTGAGAAAACATAAGCCAAACAGAGAAGATTGTAGATGACCATGCCCATGAGGAGATGTGAAGGTGGTGGTATGAGCTCTCTGGGTGTTTATATTGTTTTATGTCTGAGCTGAAGAGGGGTATTTAAAGAAAGTATGAGTTATTGACACCTTTTAACCCAAGAGATGACAAGAAGAAACTCTCTTATTTTGGCAAGTTTCTAACACTAGGTCTGTGCTCTGTGCACCTATTCCCAATCAGCAGCCCACAAATGGAATTTCTCCTGCACAAGAGGCAAATCCTAGGTGTTTTCAGAACCAGAAACAAGCAGTGCCTCCCCAAGGAACTTGGAGTTGAGTAAGGGAGGCAAAATAGAGACAACCACATTCTACCACTTTATGGGATAATAGGGAAAGCCACATCTGTGTTTCGAGGCATTGCCTATGTGACAGGCAAGTTACCACATTTAACCCTCATATCAGTCCTCCAAAGTAGACACTTTTGCCCTCTCCACCAGCAGGTCCTCTTCTTAGCCCCAGAGCATGGAGACTCGAGATAACAACAGGCTGCATAGGGCACAGGGTCGATTCCGAGGGATGGAGGGCAGCAGTGGCTTGCCAGCAGGGCAGCATCAGTCTACTCTGATGCAGAAGACAAGGGAGGAACTGTCCTGGCATAAGGGGCTCCACCCCACCAGAGTTAGAGTTCTTATAACACTCCACAGGGATAGCTCCCAGTGTCCCCAAAGGGACACGCTTCTTACAAGATGACCATTCCCAAGAAGACAAATCAGGATGCCTAACTTTCCAGACCATGAAAGGGTCACTGTTGTCACATTAGGAGCGTTCCCAGAGTTAGCGAAAGATTAAGTTCTCGTGCAGAAAAGAATTAACTTTACCCATAATTGTTGCAGGTTGAGCATCCCTAATCCAAAATACTCCAAGATCTAAAACTTAAAACTTTTTTTTTTTGGTACTGAGGATTGAACTTGGACCTTGTGCTTGTGAGGCAAGTGGTGGCACCACTGAGCTAAAGCCCCAGCCCCTAAAACTTAAAACTTTAAATTTTCAGACTAGAGATTCTTAACTGGTAAAGTCTATGCAAATCTTCCCAAATCCAAGAAACTCTGGAACGTTTGGTCCTAAGAACTCAGATAAGATACATTCAACCTATAGTCTCATTTTACAGAGAATGAAGTTGAAGTTTAGAAAAGTTTTATCACCTGGCCTCACATTTCATTGCCACAGCTTGAACCCTGGCCTGTTTTAACGTCACTACCATGCTCTTACCTAAAATGCAAGATGTAAATTTTTTCCACCTCATAATATATCTGTGTTTATTTTACTGCTTGAAAAACTAATTTGAATTATCCACCATTTTAGGACAATTGGTCTTCCTGGAAAAAGCTACATGTTCATCTTATGCATTTGGCCCCTCCCTGGCACACCACATACTCCACTGTGCAAAGCTTAGTGCTATGCTAGTTAGTGATTCTGCTTAGAATAAGAACAGACAGGGGCCGGCCGGGTTGTAGCTCAGTGTCACAGTTCCTGCATAGCAAGCACAAGGCCCTGAGTTCAATCGCCAGTACCAAAAAAAAAAAAAAAAAAAAAAAAGTAAGAACAGACAGCATTTTTCTCTGAGAGTCTGTATTTTGCATAGAAGTAGATGAGAGAAAAAAGAAGTTTTCTTCTTTAAAAGAAGAAAAGGGTAGGGAAAGGGAAAAAAATAAAAGACGGAAAAATGGAAACAAAGCTTTTGTAAATAAGGAGGTAATGTGGGGTTGAAGGGAGGGAAGGGGATTAGAAGAGAAAAATGAAGCAAGATATGCCCCTTACAGGTGCAAATTCCTTTCAATGAATGTGATTCTTACTTATATTTAAATTATACCAATAAAATTAATTTTTTAAAGAAAGACCTGTAGGACAATTTTGCATCTGAGAATAAATGATTACCTGGGCTGGGGATTTAGCTCAGTGGTTCTACCGCCTACTCTGCAAGCACAAGGTCCCAAGTTTGATCCCTGGTACCAGAAAAAAAAATTGTTAATAAAATAATTGAGTACCTGGCTCCCAGGTCCAAGCAGTTCTCTTTCCCATCAAACTTCCTTTCTTCTTTTTAAGTCATCACCATCTTGTAGCAAAAAAAACAAAGAAAAAAAAAAACACCAACAACAAAAATCTCTTAAGCACTCATGGCAACACATGCATCTTTATTACAGTTCAGTTGAACTTACAAAAATCCAGTTTATATACCTGGATTGTGTTGCAGCAGCTATTCAAGAAGTGTACCATCCATGTTCCAAGTATAAAAGTCAGAATTTTAAGACATGTAACAATATTATTATTGCTTCATTGGGTGTTTAATTGATTGTAAGCTTTCACCAGGCATAAAAGCTATCTCTTGACTCCCAAAACTTCATAGTGTAGTAAAAAAAAAATATCAAGGAATTTTGTAGGTAGAATGTGGAATGGGTGGCGTAAAATACCATGATTAAGAGCAGTGAGATCAGTATATGATGAATTGTACTGAAGTAGACAAAATGCAATTGATGGTAAGAGGTACAGAGAAAACTTGAGGGTCATGGTAACATTCTGCCTGTCAGCCAAGGTGAGCATAGGTGTTTGTTTTATTGCCTAAACACCTTCATATCCTCTATTCATTCCACTGTTCATCCTCTGTTCATCAGAGTCCAAAAATGCAGCTGACAAAGTTTTCCAGTAGTACAAAAACATGTGCTCTTTAGATAGGAGATACCATTTCATAGATTGTTTTGTATCTCAAATAACATAACTGTATGAGATATTAGATTTTACTGGGAGAAAAGAACAAAGCTTGAATGTCACTAAAGAAGTGTTGGACAAACTGAAACCATTTAAGAAAAATGAGAACATCAGCAGATGTTGGTGGTGATCTTCTTCCTTGTACAGCTCAGCACCCACCCCCTGCCACTGAATCTACTTAGATAAGTGGGTGGAGAGCAAGAAAAATCTTCTAAATCAGAAAAAATGTTGAAACTGAATGTGTTGCATGGGCACAGATCTATTCTGTGTGTGGAAGAAATAGAACAGCCTTTGAGGGGCCTTGACAGCAAGAAGCTGGAAGGTCATCTCGTTGCTGCCTAGCAAAAGGGAAGTTGCTGTGAGATTTGAGACTGGAACTCACCTGCCTCCAAGCCCCTGCCCTGGGACCAAGCATCTGTCAAATCCTGGTTGACTGCCATGTTCCCAACACTATATTACATCCCATAAGGGGCTCAGGTCACTCACTCTTCCCCCGTCCTCTATTCTTTCAGATTCATGACTGATGCCGCCCGCCGAGAACAGGAGTCCCTGAAGAAGAAGATTCAGCCAAAGCTCTCACTGACCTTGTCCAGCTCAGTGTCTCGAGGGAATGTGTCCACTCCTCCTCGCCACAGCAGTGGAAGCCTTACTCCCCCTGTGACCCCGCCCATCACCCCCTCCTCTTCATTCCGCAGCAGCACTCCCACTGGTGAGTGACTTAGCTCTGTGATAGAGTCAGAGACAGAGTGAGATACACTGGGGGCAAGAAGAGCTGGGGACGGAAACTAGCTGGAACCAGTACCTCTTTGACCCTTCATTGGTCTCTCCACAGTGTGTTGATTCGCTCATCTGTTCATTGTTGAAGACATATTTATAATTGTTAATATGTATGTGACGGTGGCTTTAAAGGTATTTGAGGCCTTCCTATTATGGATGGATGAAGTAGTACAATGTCTTGAGTTTGCTAAAGTCAGGCGAAGGAGTAGTTGAAAGAAGATTCCTGTGTGTTGGTTACTGAAGTTCAGCAGTGGACATAGGTCGGATCATTATACCATTCTCCCTGTTTTTGTTTATTTTTGAAACTTTGCATAGTAAAATGATTGAACACAGCCACATTTAGAATGCCTCCTCCATGCAGACACTGAGCTATTATAGTGGAGAAGAGGGCCCCTCTCTCTGTCTTATACCTAGTGAAAGATTTTGGCATCCTCCTAAGGTGGAAGTGATTAAAAAAATAAAATGGGAATCCGAGTTGAAGATCAAAACATCAACTCAAGCACTGCATAAAGTTAAAATGCAGGATGAAGCTTGGATCTGTGACAAGTGGGCACCTTAGTATGTTTTCCTTGAATTCAACTTATTTCCCAAACTGTCCTTCTTAGCTCATGCCTTAGCTCAGGAAAGGAACAGACCAGAAAGCACCATGGGCTATGAGTTGAGCATGTGCAGATGCTCCTCTTCTTCTTAAGCCATAGAGTTGCTACGGCTTCATGACAGGAGGGTAAAAAGCCATAAAGAGGCTGGGAAAGACCTTTGTGTCTTGTCTGAGAAGCAGGCAAAGATATCCTTTCCCCCAGTTGGACTATAATAAAATAAATACAAACATAAATATATCACTGTCATCATGACTAGTTCTAGACAAAAGAACTCAGTGACCTGAGTGTCTCAGAAAGAAGAATCTGGCTAGGAAAGGCTTCCCTGGAAAGATGAGTATGAATTGAAGAAGGAAAGAAACAACGTCACTGAGAAAGAAAGAGGGAAAGGAGGCGTGCTGCAGCCTGGAAGAATAGTGTCTTACAAGGCCCCGTGGCAGGAGAAGCCTGGCAGTCCCAGAGCAGGCCAGGTAGCCAGGTATACGCAGAGGCAGCAAGGCCTAGGACAGTAGTGGTGAACCTACAGCACATGCTACGGCGAGCTGTTTGTATCATTGAAGCTCTAAAAGGTTTGCCGTCACTGGCCTAGTTAGAGATTCCAGTCCATTCTCGGCTACTGCAAAAACAGATCATGGTCATTCTTTGAGAGGATGAGTGGGTTCACTTGTGTCAGTCCTCTGTCCGTTTCCTAACACAGGCCACCAGTGTGCCTTATATTTTATTTGTGAAGACTGACTTCCCAGAATTTTTATGTCATGTCTGATATGTAAAGAATGAAAGAGAGCATGGCTTTGAGAGTGTAGTGTAATGCTGCAGTCCTCCTTTCTGGATGTTTCTAGATTTGTTCAGATGGAATATGAATTACTGGGGGAAGTCTCAAACTATTTCATACCTGAGGTAATGTGGCCTGACTCATGTCCAACCCCAGATAAGCAGAACTGCTCCAGTTAGTAACAGGTACCTCCAAACTCCATGCGAATAAGGACTGTTTAAAGTGAGAGTTTATTAATTTTTCATGTAAGCATGTTTGGAAGAAATGGAATCATTTCCTGTCCTTGACTTGCAAAGAAATCTTTATGACACCTTGCCTATTTTAGCAGTTTCTCACTGAGAGAATTAATTTATGTTGTGGTAAAGATGTATCATTTTCAGTCTGTCAAGATCATTGGTAAGTTATTTGCTGCTTGCAGAACATTCCATGTAAACATCAAAAATTAGCAGAGGAAATGGTTTCTTAAACCCCTACCTTGTGCAGTTTTGATTGTGTACATTTTTCAATGTTCAGAATGTTATTTTACCTGTACTTAGAGAGATCAGCTTATTTTGCTTGACTAATATGGTTCCAGTCACTTTCTTTGCCAGGTTATAAATAATACTCCACATTTCTACCTCCTAAATCCACTCTTCCAAGTTCCATATTCAAGGTGCATTCTTGGGTCAGAAGAAACAAGTCTTCGTGTAGGAAGTTTAATTTATAAAATATTTCTTAAGGTGTGCTTTCTTGACCAGACTGAATCAGAGCTTAGCTTCAACCCAGTATTTCTTACGTGTTCTTGGATTCAATTCAGATGTTTTGCAATTTTGACAATCTTCTCAACTTTTTCATTTCCTATCCTTATTTGTTTTCTTTTCTTTTAATTAGTAAAAGAAAAAAAGACACTATTCATTTAAGAAATTCCTAAAATGGTTTAAAGCATACACTACTGAACTTTTCCTATAAAGGACCAGATAGTAAATATCTCAGGTTTTTCAGGCTGTTGGATCTGTATCGTAGCCCCTCATCTCTATTGCCATAGTGGGAAAGTAGCCATAGCACCCCTTGAACAAATGGGCATGGCATATTCTGTTAAAAGTCAGAATTTAGGTAAGATATTACTTACAAAATCAGGCCAGGTGTGGCCCACAGGTGACCGTTTTCTAGTCCTCAGTGTAAATCATAGAGATGTGGAATTTAAAGACAAACATAATTAAATTGTTTAAAAATAAGGTATGGTAACTCCTTCAACAATAGGAATAGCTAAATTTCCATGGGGTAAAGGAAACAAATGTTTGCGGAGTGTTTACTACATGTCCTTACTATATTCTTTATGTATTGTGTTGGTTTTAGTCCTAACACTAGCCATGCTGAGACATTATTATTCCCATGTGCAGATAAAAAGTGGCCTGGAATATGGTTAATTTGACATATCCCTGTGTTTGTCTATTCAAAGAACATGTTCTAGGAGCAAACATGGTGATGCATGCCTGTAATCTCAGTACTCAGGAGGCTGAGATAGAAGGTTTATAAGTTCAAGGCCAGCCTGGGCTATAAACAAGACCCTATCAAAAAACCAACAAAAAGGGGGTGGGGGACAGTCTTTCCAGTGCACTTACTCCATATTAACTGTTATCCCATTAATATCCTTCCAGAAATTCTTGTTAGACCTTCATCCATCTAACTGCATGAATTGCTGTTGGCTTGACACCGTCAAACTCTAAATACAAAACTATACAAAGGGACTGGAACTATGATTCATTTTCATTCACAATAATTTCCACTTGTACCTCACTTGTACCCACTTATACTTAGCCAACTGGTTCCCTGAGTCTACTCCAGAGAACCAGTTGTTAAATATTCCATTTGCAAGCCCATTGTTAAACTGTTATCTTGAAATTAATTGTGGTAAGCCTATTTAGACCAGTGAAATTGGAACATTCCTACTTTTCATTTTACCATTATACCATGGACTTATCCTTTCAGTATTTATCAATCAATCACCTGCCAATAAATAAATAATGACCATTTAAAACATTACAGTGCACAGAGGCTGGAGTTTCACTGCCTGCCTCTCAAACACAAGGTCCAGAGTTCAATCCCTAGTAGCAAAAAAAAAATTAAAAATTAAAAAACAATACAGTGCTGCTGAGGATTTAGCTCAGTGGTACTGTGCCCACCTCATAAGCTCATGGTCTGAGTTTAATCTCTGGTACCAAGAAAAAAATAAAATAAAACAATACAGTGTTGCTTGCTCCTGCTGCCTCTTGTGCCTCCTGTGGGTGAGAAAGAAAAAGGCCCCACCACTGTCACCAGCACAGGCTGCCTTGCCTGCCTTGTGCAGGAGAGTAGAGCAGCCAAACCACCAAATACTAGCTGGCTCAGTGCCTTGGTTCTCATCAGCATTGAGCAGCGGAGGTAACAACCAAAAAGAATGAGCTGATTGAGAATGAGACCAACACCCAGGAGAAGAGTTTCCCTCCAGGACTGAAGCATTACCATACTACAGAAATTAGGTGAGAGACAGTCATGAGAGACAGGCTTGGACAGGGTGAGAGAGAGATCCCCTGAGCAGCTCAGGCTCAAGCCAGGAAGATCACAAGGTCTGTATTATGTGGTGGGGGGCCAGGTTTGGTGGCTGTAAACTTTAAGAGCAAGGATCTGAAGGAAATGTCTACACTAAAGGCACAGATCTCTTTGCTCTGGTTGAGTGGTTTGTGAGTAGTTTTGGGGGTTGTCAGAATCCTGTTTATATTTGACATCATTATTGTTACTGACTTTACTACTACAGTCAAGATTGACATAGTGCTGTCAACTGGTTTCCTCTGTATACCAATATCTAGCCTGTCTGAGGTCATAAGTAGCACTGTGTCTCACTCCTGAAGAACTGGGCACTGGACCAAAGAAGCTGTAACACCCAGCATAGAAAATAAACAGGAAAGGGCTGGAGATTTAACTCAGTGGTGCTGCGCCTGCCTGTAAAGCGCAAGGTCCTTAGGTCATGCGTTTGATCCCCAGTTCTGAAAAAAAAAAAAAAAGAAAAAGAAAGAGAACACAGAAAATAAACAGGAAAATAGAAATACAAGAAAACATGGCAACAGAATGTTTCCAGAAAATACCCAATTCCCCCCAAACCAATCCAGGAAGCACTGAGGATAAGGAAATCATAAGTCATGCAGCAGAAATATCTGAAAGGGTAGCAAAACAGTTCAATAAGAGGCTTGGTGAATACAGAGAAGATCTAACTAAAGGGATAAAACAGATGAAACCAATGATGAGCGAGTCTAGAGAAGACACTAATAAAAATCTAGTCGAGCTAAAGGAGATACAAAACATACGTGCCCAGCATAGAACAGAATGGAAGTCCATATAAAAATTTCCACACAGAAATCCAGGACACTAAAAATATGAATCCAGATATTGGCATACATAGAAAACCACTTGACAGAAGAGACTAATTTGAGGACAGAATGTCACATCTAGAAGACAGGGCTGTGATTAGTGTTCAATTAATGAAAAAGACCTTTAAAAAGAACAGCAACAACAAAAAAACATAAAGTACCAGCAGCTGCTAGATGACTC